TTAGATGACTTTGTAGTATTTGCAAAAATCTAAATAATATTCTCACAAAAGTATAAAACTTTCTTTGCTAATAATAATAGATGTAATATCATATAGAAACTACAATAGTATTACTATATAATATAAAAGATCTCACAAAAAAGAATAAGGTAATACATAATTATGATTATGAATATGAAGTTTTATAATATTTTGTTAGTAAACTTATTAAAGTTTATTTAATAATGATTAAGTCTAAGTGTGTCTTTTTAAAATACAAATTTAACTTAAAAATAACGTTTCATCTTATAAAACAATTAAGTAACGCATACCTAAAAATTATTCCTTTGAATCCAAAAAAAAACTATCAACAAAAATAAAACTGTTGCTAACGATAGCTGGCTGCACATCCTTTTCTTTCTACTTTAAAATAGTATCGTTAAAAACTTATATATTTAACTCGTTTTAGATAATGGTAGTGGATCTCTTTCTCCAGCGAAACTTTAAGCCCCGATCTATCCTACTTTGACTTTTTATCTTTTGATGCATGAGAATCTTTTCATAATATCAAAAATGTAACGAAAATAAATAAAATTATATAAATACTAGATAATCTGCTTTTATCAATTGTATTTCTCATATTGTGATCCTGTAAAATCCCGAACAAGAAGCCGCATAAATCACTTCTCATATTCATTGCAGGATATATCAACAATGAATCTACTACATTGAACGAAATGAAAAATTTCTGCTTTAACAATGTTTCTCCGCGGCACCATAGTGCCCTGAGATGGAATGCCAACGTCGTGTAATAAGAACACCCATAGGGGAGCTAGGGGTTATATGTAACGGGGGTAACTAGTAACAGGCGTTTTTCAATACGACCTTAAAAGATATTGAAGTATGATTAGACATATAAACCGTCTTGCATAATATTGTCATAGCAACTGTCCCGCAGGCCAACGCAATAAACAGAACTGTGCAGGTCCATCATTTTTAGATTTAGCAGATAATATAAAATTGATGTCATAAAATTTTGGTTTGCGTTATTAAAATCGACTATTTTTAAATTTCATATATCTTATTTTATTTCAAATTTGCCAATCACTGATAATGTGCAACAATGTTTGTGATTGGAAAATTGTTTAAATGGTTTTCTAGAATAATGTAAAAAATCATACATGGGTTGATTTGTACCATACAAGAACTATATACAGATTCAAGTGAAGAAAATTCGATAGAATTATAGGTCTTCACTTTTTGTTTGTATTATGATAATAATTGGAATTTAAGTTGATTCATGATAAAAATTTATATTATAAGGGACATTATATATTATATTTGTATTAATTATAAACAAGTCAATTTTGTTAAAAATAAGTGAACAATAAATTATCATGGGCATTTTTTGTCGTTACACTAACCCCAAACACGAGGTAAGATGAAACACCGCACATTTTCTGAAAAATGATTAATTGTAAAATAATGATCAATTATTGTAGAATTATTTTGAATGAATAGTTATTTCGTAGAAGAATAATCAGAGGATTTCATGATATATTAATTAAAAAATAAAAACTGTTACAACCTGCCCCTATATCCCCTACATATAGCACTCGTGTACGCAATTGAACACATGAGCAAGACTGTATGTATTGCGAAGCTCCATGCAACCATCATCTTTCGTTCGAATGTCGACCCGCTGGCGTTACAGAAATTTCCAATTTATTTTAGGACTCTCGCAACGTATTTTATAAAACGGCTTTCGCCAACGAATGCTGGTTGGGGGAAATGGGAAATGGGAAAAAGCTACACGGCTTGTTTTCCGACCCTCACCCGACAGGAGTGCTTTTGTAAAGGTCGCACTAGCAAACGCGGAGAACAAGTAACTATAAATAGTTGTGACATTTTGAATTATAAGCTATGGTATCGCTGATACTGAGAGCAAATCGAATTACATGGATTCCGTAGATACAAAATATATTTTTTTGTGAAGCGGAACAGTTGCAATGTGTTGATATAAGGTTTCAAACATATCACAGTTATTACTATAGACCACTTGAATCGTATAAAATTAGTAAGTAAAGAAGTTTCTATTAGTTTCTGAAAATATTATATCGAGTATAATTTATAAACTTATTTATTTGCTTTAATTTCAACTGGTTTTGCTAGTAACGCAGGTTTACCAGATTCATACTTAAAATCAAAAACTCTATGTAATTTATTGACATTTTAGCTGATTTTGCCTGCTACAAAACATTTCTTCAGCAATTTAAAAATCACATTCGAACATAGTTTGCGCCAGTAAGTTTTTGTTAAATTCGTATATAAACTTAAGCAAAACAATATTAAGCATTATATTAACGTTATCAAGCAATATTTAACTAGATATATTATAAATCAACGATAGTTTATTGATACATGCATACATTGAAATAAAATTATATCACTGTACAAATAGTTTTATGCTTATAAAAGATTTTAAAAAATAATTTTATAATAAATGTAATTAAAGTAAATATAATTTTATCTATAAACTATATTAACACAAATTAATAAATCTATTATAGCAGTAGTACTAAAAATATTGAGTAACATTTTGTATTTTGCCTCATTGTACGATCGATATTCAACAGAAAGTATCAAGGTAACGGAATAAAATTTTGTCAATTATTTTAGCATCGACTAAATTACATCTTGAGACAATTAGGTATTTGAATTTTTTTTTTTTTTTGTTTAATGGAAAGATCATATATAAGTTTTATAACAAAGTTTTTTTCTTTTTCTTTTTCTCGCAATAATTAAAAAGTTATACCAAATTAAAATTTGAGTTTGAATTCGGTACCGAAGAGCGCCGACAAATTCCGAACGAGCCAAGCGCGTGTGACGTCATACTGTTACGGGTGATTCATAGTAGGATACAGCTTTGAACATGTGCTATGCTTTGAGCTTTGGTTAATATCGTGGTGTCATTGTTAAATTCTGTTCGTTCGTTCTGTTTTGTTAAATATTCAAAAATATATAAAAAAATGTCAAATGTAAAATGTTATCGCTGTTGTTTTGTACCATTATGTACAAATACAACAAAAACAACTCCTGAAAAAATGTTTTTGCATGTTCCTGATGACGAGAAACGTCGAAGAATGTGGTTTCAAGCAGTGCACCGAGATTATCCTAAAACAAAATCGAATTTTTGTTGTTGTGAAGATCACTTTGATGTAAGTATTTCAATATTCTACTGATTATTTAAAGTTATCTGATAACTTGAAATAACTTTGATATATTTATAATTTTCTGACGTTTTAGGTTATATATTGAAGTAAATAAGATTGAAAGTAAATTTTAATGTTGTGTTTCCTTATTATAAAAACATTTAAATAATTCTAATGATACGTTCCTTTTGCAGCTAAAGGATGATATGGAAAATTATATGTATTTCACGACAATGGGAGGTAAAGCCAAGCTTAAAATTGATGTGGTACCACACAAGTTTGAATGTCAGCCTAATCGTAAACGACGAGGGACTTCTAGACCAGCTTCAGAAAAAAGACGAAGACAACAATTAATTCAAGAAATTTTGAGTGAATCTTCGGGTAATATGGAAGTTGTTAATCCTCAGAAACCAAATCTTGATGCCATATCAGGCAACAGTGTTGATGTTGAAAGTGATAGTGATCATTCAAATATAATAATTAAAGTCAGTGTTGGTACACAAACACCAATCGATTTTAATAGTCGTGCTGTTGCTATTCAAGTAAGTCCCAAATATTGTAGCAAGTCAGTCCAATGTGAACTTTTATCAGCCGGAGTAGATCAGTCCTGCTCACCAATTAAAACTGGTAGCATGAGTACTGCAACATCTCCAATAATACCAATAATCGAAGATGATCAGAAAATATTGTCAGATAATAGTTTCACGGATTCAAACAGTTCTCGAGATATTTATGAGCCTTTAGAGAATAGCGACTCGAGTGATATAGACTGTAGCTCACAGTCTCCTATAAAAAAAGGTGACATTGTAGAAGTCACAAATTATTTAATTGATGACAATTTGAAGGCCTATACTGGAGTCCCTCAACAATTTGATGTAATGTTAGAACGTCTCAGTGTTCTTTCTAATATCAATATGACAAATATAAAATTATCTTTAATGAAAATTCGACGCCAAGACAGTTTTGAAAGATTAAGTGAACAGTTCGGAATGAGTGTAAGCAACGCTAGCATTATTTTTAATAAAACAATTCCGGTATTAGCACATTTTTTTAAAAAGTTTGTTTACATGCCTGAGCTTGATGATATAGAAAGAATATTACCGATAGCATTTAGATCTTCTTATAGTCATGTGGTAGCTATTATTGATGCATTTGAGATTCAAATCGAGAAACCTAGTGATCCAGAACATCAATCATTAACTTGGTCAGAATACAAAAAGTGTAATACTTTAAAATATTTAATATCTTGCACTCCGGATGGCTTTATCAATTTCATCTCAAAAGGATTTGGAGGTCGAATTTCAGATGAATTGTTATTTCAGGAAAGCGAAATAGTAGAAGAGTTACCCGAAGGTTGTGCTGTAATGGCTGATCGAGGATTCAAGAATATTGTTCAGCTTCTTGATAATAAAAAGATAGAATTAATTCGACCACCTTCAGTGAGTGCTGGGGTTAAATTATCACAATCTGATGTTCTACAAGGTAAACGAATCGCTGCTCTACGTATTCATATAGAACGCGTGATTGGACGAATGAGAGAGTTTGATTTTCTCAAACCTCATGCGGTTGTTAATCATAATATGCTACCTTTAACAGACTATATTGTTATCATCGCAGCAGCACTAGTTAATTTACAAACACCTATAATTACAACTTAAATTTAAGAATATTTTCATCACAAAAGAAATGGCTAAATGTATGTTTCATATATTTATTATTTTATTTATTTATTATACATTTATCGTTTATTGCACTTGTATCAGATCATCAAAATATATTGAATAATAACTAATTAAGACTTTTACTTTATTATCTTTGTACAGAGTTGATCAGCTTTGGGTATATATTTTTGGACCAGAATACTATACATTTTTTAATGAGATCTTGAGTAGTTGCATCATCATATTTCAATACGCTAACATAAATTTTTTGATTGTCTTCAAAGTTTTGATCGGCAACACAAAAGATACCCTTTCTTTTACCTGTCATTAACATTTGCAGTTGCATTTGAGCATTACACTTTAAGCTTATTTTGCCCTTTGGCAAAAAAGTGTACATTGATTTTTGACTTGAGGGACATTTTATTTCAATTATAGCATCACTAGTTACTCCATCAGGAGATGCTGCAAACACTGGATGGCTATGTGAAAGATAAATTCCTGAAGGCGCAATTTCTACTTTTAGTTCTTTCTCCAGAACTTCAATAACTTTCTTTTCCAGCTTCTTTCCTCGTGCCATAGCCTTTGTTTGATAAACTTTACCAGCACCAATGATTTGTTGTACTAGTGACCCATTATCAGTTTTACAATGAGCAGCTTCATAAAATTTTGAAGCTGTTATGCGTCCATATCGAAGTTCATGCCAAATTGCACACTCACTTTGTTGTTTTGTTAATTCTTCAGCCTCTTGGCACACAGCTTCTTTCATTGCAATCTTTGCGAACTCTAAAAAATTTTGAACTTGCGAATCACTTTTCTTAAAATCAAAAATAATGCGGTGTAAAGATAAACTATAAGTTTTTTCAAGTTTATATCGAAGTTTAACTGTCCGATTTGACAGTTTATTTGATGGTTTTTGGCTAGTTCAATTACTTCTTTCAAAAATGTTTTGTTATCTGGCAAATTTTCAACTGAAGTAACTGTGTTTTTTTTTGTCAATTTTTCAGCTTGAATATATTTTACTGTAGTTCCTACGCCTGATAATTTAGACTTCTTCCAGTAGCAAGCAACTTCTGTAGGTGTCGGATCTTCGCTCCTGCGATGGGTCCACATAAGTAATGCCAATGCATGTTTGCAACCACCTGTACATTCAATATAAAAATGATTTTCATTTATAAAATTAATTCAATAACTAGAATTTAATCGGATTACTAATTACCTGCTGAAGCTGCACAGTCATGGCATTTAATATCCTGAACTTTTCTTAACCTTTCATTAATTGTTAATGTAACTAAATAGGCTTTGCTTCGAACTCGATGTTCTGGAGATACACGTGCTTTTAAAATACAAATTCCATTTTTACGACAAAGTTGAGCATAACCCACAGCTTTGTCGCCGTAACTTTCACGCGATGCTCTAAAATTAATTTATTAGGTAATTATATTCAATATAAAATTAATACTTAAATATTGTGATTCATAATATTTTTTAACAGACTTACATCAATGCCTTGGCGCCTCGAACTTCCGCAGAATTAAACCGAACATCATTTTTTAGAAAATCGGCTACCATAAATATATCAATATTAGGTACATTATCAGAATTTGCTTTTATAATCCTGTATCACACATAGTTACACTAAATTAACTTCAACAAATCGTTTTTAAAGGAAAATTTACCACGTGTTTATCAAGTTCCGTAAAATATAGCCGCAAGCACTGCACTAACAGAGCAACGGCACTGCGCTGTTATGAGGAATTACAATGTGACGTCACAGGCACGGTAGCCAATCGTGGCGCGTTAACGTTAACGTTAATTTTTGAATTTAATGAATTTTTAAACGCCCATAACTAATTCAAAAAACATTTTTTTTTGTTTTTTCTTTCACATATCAATAAATTTAATAATGTAGTTTTAAAGCGCATAAAAATAAATATATAATTTTTTTTTTCAAATTCCCAATTACACGTAACAAAAAATACATATGTCAATTTCCCATTAACTTCCAGTTATGAATATCGAAATACACAAGGAAGTCAATCTTTCGATAATCTTTGGTATGCGAAATATTGCGTAAGTGCGTGGCTAACAAAACAAGTAAATTTTACGGTGGAGCAATCAACTCGTGATTTATTACTCCCATTTATGTAACTGATTTAGATTTTATTGATTTAACTCAATTGTATATAGTTACATTACTTTATTTATGGACATCGACAACAACTGTCATAAAAATAAAAACAAGACAATAGCAAAAATTTTAGAATCATACTATGGAGTTCATTTTATTACTGTAAAGTGTACGTATGTTCAGGCATGGTATGCAGATATGTGGATATAATTTGCCGTCTGGGAATTATTCAATTTAAGCGTTCGCCCAGACAACACACGTAATTTCAAATAAGTGCACCGATGAGAAGCATTCCAGTTTAGAGTTTTGTTATTATTAAAGGAGAGACGAGGCGGCGGTGTGCGGTCGCACAGCAACACTTGAAAATTACGATTCAACCGAGTTCATTACACGACACACGCCCCCTTTCTCTGTCTGTTCCATTATATAAATATCAGAATCTGGGGGTCAGGAACATTTCGGCACCCCTTTGACATTTCATAGCGTTCATCATCACTACCCCTAAGCGGAATCATAATGTCGCCGCTGTCAAAGCAACGGGTCGCTCGGTTGGTTGTTAATCAGTTCGGTACGATACAACCCCGTACAATGTTTAATATTGTATCAACCCTTGATAAAAAACAAAACTGCAATATATACGTAGAGCGATTACTAGGGTGACTCAAACAAGTTTAAACTGTCCATATTTTCACGCAAAAACTTTTTTTTTAAAGTGATGATTTATGACAGCATAACATTAGTCGCAATGACATCTGACTTTCAATTCAGGATTAATGTAATTAAGATAAACATCAATAATGCACGAGAATTGTAAGAAATTAAAATTAGTTTCTTTCTTGCAAATGTTATTTAACTAGCTGAACCTTAATTTTTATTAATTAGTACTCTCTAATACTCTCTCAACATTCCAGAAAGTTTGCAAAACTCGCCTTAAAGTAAAATGCTACATACAACTACTAGTTTTATGCAGTCGTGGACTCAAAATATTCTGAACAACTTGACATTTCAAAATACCATATACATAGGTTTTTTCAAAAATTTCAATTTCAATAGCAAATAGTCACTGCATGACGAATATACTCGTCAATACACAAAATTTAAAAGCCATTCGATGTAACTCGTTAAGGACTAGCATTTTTCAGTTTTGCGCAACGTTCCAGTCAAGCCGTTTCTTTGTTAATAGCAGAAAAGTGAGAAAATTTTTGTCCACATACCAAAAAAGCGTCAATAATTTTTGCAAAATTAGCCGTAATATTTCAATATCATCTAAAAGTCCATTACTAAGATTAGTGAATACTAAAGTTATTTTGTACTTTTTAATTTAATTAAACTAATAATAATTTTTATTAATACAAATAAAAGTTTTTAAGCACTAATTTCATCAGAACTATAAAATGCTAGCAAATAATTACATTTAGTACAAATAGATACCAAAAATATTAAAGCTTTTTTTATTTTATCCCTCACCTTTAACTCATTTACTACAAAATAATAGAAATTAGTTAATTTTTAAAGGTTTAAAAATTTCATTGATTCATTTACTTTTTATGTTTTTATTAAGCTGCGGTTGGTTAACTTGTATACTTGCAAGAGCACTTTGATTTATATGAGTATATAATCACACAATTATATACTACACAATTAAGCAAAGTGTTATATATACGGATGAATATATTTACTATTTAATGGGTGCATAAAATTAGCAAGAAACATCTTGTAAATGTGAGCGTGATGGCTTTATGAAATATACAACGGCTATTTACCTATTCGATAAATGGAGTCAAAACATATTTTAAGCGATTTAGGTGTAATTTATTAAAAAATTAAATGCAACTAGCATTTTGCCATTAGTTGCATAAACTTTTCAATATTTATGATTAATTGGAATAATCAATAAGAATCAAATTTTGACATTTTTTGTAATTAATGTTTGATGTTACTCTACGTCTACACAATAAACTAGTTTACTATGTAAATTTTCTTTTTTTAACAATTATTTACAAAGAAACAGCACAGACCATATTTACTAAAAACTAATTAGCACGATACCCCAACAATATCATTCAAACAGTTTTTGAATTTTCAAAAACGTAAACAAAATTATTCATTTGTCTGCTAATTATAATAAAAATTTATAATTTCTAAGGATTTAAAAGTTGCGATATCTTTAGTGCTATTTTTGAAAAAATGTTGATAGAATGTTAAATTTTGGCTCTCATACACACGCTTGCTATTTTCTCTTTTTATGTCAAACGATTTACGTGAACACATAAATTTACCATATAGGATTTTCTGGCAAAAAAATAAACTTCTCCTATGGTCAAAACAATTAAAAATTCTTTTCAAAAATATTATAAGATATATTTACAATTATCGTCATATTATAAAAGATACTCAGTAAATCTATTGGCAGTAAAGATGTGCAATTTGACCCTAAAATATATATGTAGATGTTGAAGTAATGCACAGATAAAGATTTTTAGGAAATAGTTTTCAGGTAAGCCATATAATATATATGAGCACTTCTTATATATACATGCATTAATAAAAAAAAGTATATATATATAATGCACATTGTAGAATAATTATTTATGAGAAATGAGTATTTATGCACACAACCATGCCAACAATTATGTAGTTGTATCGAGAACTTTAATACACGTGATTAAGTAAATTTCTACTAAATGAAATTTATGATAATTATTTATAGTTATCTTTATAAAAAACGATTTTTTATTCGCAATTCGTGGCTTTTATTTGCACAAGTTAATATAAGATAAAATATATTAAAATATTTATCTCATAATCAGAAACTCCAAACATAAACACTTAAAATTCTCAAGTATTCAACTTAAGTTGCTCGGAATGCAGTATTTCACTCGTTATCAACTTTGTTCAGAAAAGATCCCACAAAAAGTAAAGTAAAGAAGACATCTCCACCGCTGCCTTAGAGTACAATTAACAACCCTTCGCTGAGCAATAAAGCTCGCCTGATTAACATATTCAAAACATATGCGAGTTTTATTTGCTTGCAAAGATAAGGAAGATTAACAATTTAAAAATAAAAAATGAAACGACTCCGGATAAATTAGATTAAATGCGAGGCATTGTATGGATGCCGTTCCCTTCGGGCGATCCGCGTTAACATCGCAACCAGCATGAGGGCGCAGGAACATTGAAGCGGGTTCTTTATTGTTCATTTGAATACTTTGATTTATCATCGCGATCAGTGGACGGAACCCCTTGGATTCGCTACAATACGCCATGGAAAACAAAGCCCGACAACGAACGGGGTAGCGTGCAGGGGTTTTGCGTCCAAATCCCTTCACGATTGGGCCGGAAAACACACTGCCACGATTTCTTTTTATTGCCTTTCTGATATAATTTATTATAAGTGTTCCTTTTCTCATGGGAGGGTTGACAGACCGTAACTTCATTTTGTTAAAACTGAAAAACTCTCGAGTCGTATAAAAGAAATTTGATATTTGTGTCCCGTTAGAGACAGGCTCCATTTCGCCGCATGGCGCAGATGTACGTATTGTTTTTTACATAAATTAGTATCGGAATATGATCGAGCCATTTTGAATCTATGGGAACATGATGACAGATGCTGAGGAAAGGATTTGTTTTACAGGTATAGGACGAAAACTTTCTAAAAAATATGTCAAAATTATTGATGTAATATCAATATGGCAGAAAAACAGCGTGGCCCCTCTATAATTAGAAATTTGTATTTTTATATCTGCCTATAAATTACAACTCACAAAAATTATATATTATAACTTTACGGAATGTCTTGAATAATATTATTTTTCTATATATATATATATATATATATATATATATATACAGGGTGTCTCAGACCTTGACCTCAAGCCGGCCGAAAAATTAGAAAAAAAAATTATCTCACGTTGTGTGGAAATTATGAGCTCTTAGCTTTGGTGAAATTATAACCATTTTTTAATTATTGTGGATAAATTTTATTAATTTTGTTTGTTTAAACTTTGGAACAGTAGTTGTGAATAACATTTTTAGGATCACAGCGGAAAATATAACATACTTGGTCCTGGTTTTCAAGAATTAACACGTTTTATTGAATAATGATTTAAAATTTTCAAAATCATTCGACTTTGAAAAACCGTTCTTTAAAAAAACGTGAAACGTGAAAAACTTTAGTTAGCATTCATTATATTTGGTATATATTGTTATAGAATATACTTTATGCCTAAAATTGAGATATTCTATGCCAAATTTCTATTATACTTTAGTTCTTGAAACTATAACTGAAAAATACTTTTTGGTTACTTAATCAAATATATATATATATATATATATATATATATATACGGGTGTCTCAGACCTTGACCTCAAGCCGGCCGAAAAATTAGAAAAAAAATTATCTCACGTTGTGTGGAAATTATGAGCTCTTAGCTTTGGTGAAATTATAACCATTTTTAATTATTGTGGATAAATTTTATTAATTTTGT